CTGTTCCCCGTGGTCCCTGGAATGCGTCGTGTTCTGGCTGGAGACCCTCCAATCATCTCTGACCTTCCTTCTGGAGGGGGCGACTTCTGTTCCCCGTGGTCCCTGGAATGCGTCGTGTTCTGGCTGGAGACCCTCCAATCATCTCTGACCTTCCTTCTGGAGGGGGCGACTTCTGTTCCCCGTGGTCCCTGGAATGCGTCGTGTTCTGGCTGGAGACCCTCCAATCATCTCTGACCTTCCTTCTGGAGGGGGCGACTTCTGTTCCCCGTGGTCCCTGGAATGCGTCGTGTTCTGGCTGGAGACCCTCCAATCATCTCTGACCTTCCTTCTGGAGGGGGCGACTTCTGTTCCCCGTGGTCCCTGGAATGCGTCGTGTTCTGGCTGGAGACCCTCCAATCATCTCTGACCTTCCTTCTGGAGGGGGCGACTTCTGTTCCCCGTGGTCCCTGGAATGCGTCGTGTTCTGCCATTTAGATGATAGAACGCAGATCCTGTGAATGCGAGGATGCATGCCGCATACATTAAGGTGAGATGAACCCTGGACCATGTGACCCTGGACTACGTCCCATAAGATCATACTAAACATAATGTGATACAATCTGTCACACGTTCAGCACTCATCTGATGTGACCACCAACGTACAGATAGATCCCCCCTTTCTGATTGGTGGAGAATGCAATGGACACACCAAAGCTGGTCACAGGCAGGTTGAAGGGGCAAGTTAGTAAGCCAATTCCTGAGCCTGGGGCCTTCAGAAGATCACTTATAGATTGAACACACCTCTCTTCCACCTCTCTGGTCTATGGGCCTGATCAGGAAACACACCGCTCTATATCATAACTCAGTTGTACGTTGTCAGAGGCATGGTTGCAGTCGTGGTCCGTCGGAGGTCGCACCAAACACCCGGCCCAAAGGACTACAGGGACGAGGGCTACAAGGCACGTGCTTCAGATAGGGAACCCATCACCAGCGACCAGGCTGGTCAACCCAACTTCACCTGACCATTGTCTCTACTCCCCTCCCAGGTATAGACCACCCCCTGACCCATGGAAATAAAACGGCTCAGTCCACATTCTTCTTTACTGAAAGACTTGCAGCCAAGCTGAGTATGGACGGTTCTGCTGCAGGTATTTCAGTGAAGAAGAATGTGGACTGAGCCATTGTGTTTCCATGAACCGTTGGGTGGTCTATACCTGGGAGGTGAGTACAGACAATGGTCGGGAACCAGTGGTGGTCGGGTGAAGTTGGGTTGACCAGCCTGGAAATTAACCCCCTCCTGCCCTGTGCTCCCCGCGGACACCCCGATGCTGGCGACGTACACTGTACGTCGTCAGTATGGATAAGTCTTGTTGCATTTCCAGATTGGTCAACCCACCCGACAAAGATCTGGAACCTGGCCGGGCGAAGGTGGGTTCACCATTTTGGAAATGAGGCCAAGCCAAGTATGGACAAGTCTTTCAGTAAAGAAGAATGTGGACTGAGCCATTTGATTTCCATGGGTCAGGAGGGTGGTCTATACCTGGGAGGTGAGTACAGACAATGGTCGGGAACCAGTGGTGGCCGGGCGAAGGTGGGTTGACCAGTTTGGAAATGAGGCCAAGCTGACTATGGACAAGTCTTTCAGTAAAGAACAATGTGGACCAGGTCATTTTATCTCCATGAAACGGAGGGTGGCCTATACCTGGTAGGGGAGTACAGACAATGGTCGGGAACCAGTGGGGGCCGGGTGAAGATGGGTTGACCAGTCTGGAAATGCAACCAGGCTTGTCCATACTCAGCTTTGCCTTCAACCTGACCACCACTGGTTCCCGACCAATGTCTGTACTCACCTCCCGGGAATAGACCACCCCCTGACCCATGGAAATAAAATGACCCGGTCCACATTCTTTGTTACTGAAAGACTTGACGCCAAGCTGAGTATGGACAAGTCTTGTTGCAAGTCTTTCAGTAAAGGACAACGTGGACCGGGTAATTTTATTTCCATGGGTCAGGGGGTGGTCTATTCCCGGGAGGTGAGTACAGATATTGGTCGGGAACCAGTGGTGGTCAGGTGAAGGTGGATTGACCAGTCTGGAAAGGAAGCCAAGCTGAGTATGGACAAGTCTTGTTGCAAGTCTTTCAGTAAAGAAGAATGTGGACTGAGCTTTTTTATTTCCATGGGTCAGGGGGTGGTCTATGTCGTGGGAGGTGAATACAGACAATGGTCGGGAACCAGTGGTGGCCGAGTGAAGGTGAGCTGACCAGTCTGGAAATGCAACAAGACTTGTCCATACTCAGCTTGGCCTCATTTCTAGACTGGTCAACCCAACTTCACCCGACCACCACTGGTTCCCGACCATTGTCTGTACTCACCTCCCAGGTATAGACCACCCCCTGACCCATGGAAATAAAAAAGCTCAGTCCACATTCTTCTTTACTGAAAGACTTGCAACAAGACTTGTCCATACTCAGCTTGGCTTCATTTCCTGACTGGTCAGCCCACCTTCACCCGGCCCCCACTGGTTCCCGACCATTGTCTGTACTCACCTCCAGGACCTCATTTCCGGGCGGGTCGACTTTAAGGCCTTTGCCCTCAGAAGGGTTCTTTCTGGTTGGAGTTCCTCAGGGACACTTGTGGGACCCTCTCAGGAAATACAGCGTAACATTCCTTCTAAGGGGTCCGGGGGATCACATTTCCTCTGCTGAGGCCCTACCTCTCTCAGCAGGCCTCAGGTAGACCTTCACTCTAAAATTTGACTTTGACCCTCTCCACCCCGACATACAGTATATCCCAGGAGGCTGCAGGAGACGGGACACAGGACAGTCAGTGGGCGGAGCTTCGTGTGTCATGGGGGGGCGGCTGTCTGAACCTAGAAGAGGCAACCAGCTCCCCATGGATAAGGAGCACCAAGATGGCGGCATGGGACCCGGCCTGTGTCTCCTGAAGAGCGGATTGCTGGGGGACGATGCTGGATTTGCTGGGAAGGGGAGTATGTGAATTAATGCATTACATCCCTCACAGGTCTCTACATGGACATATATGGCATACGGATGTACACACCCATATCTACAACCTTCGTTAATATAGAGGTCCTTCAGGCACTTCCTGTTATGTGGTGACAACTCTCTGTCCGCATATCCTGATTGTGCTTCTGCGTTGTCACCCTGTCACACGTCCCTCACCCTCCCATGGGGACTTCAAGCGGCTGCACCGACACACCTTGCTCATACATGGCCCACTGTATGCAAGCTGGTGCATAGCAGAGCAATGATATACAGCCAATGCTGCTGCATGTAGACAGGAAGTGGCTGTGCCACCCAGACTCCGCCCCCCATATCATTGATACGATGCATCCGTCCTCTGTCATGCCCAGGCTCCGCCCCTCACACCATGTTTTGTCCTCTACTACATCAAGGCTCCGCCCCTCACATTTATACGATGTATTCGTCCTCTAGGTCCAGGACACCCAGGCTCCGCCCCCCACACCTAATACACAGACTTCGCCCCTCACATACTATGCGGTGTCCTTTCCAGGCTCCGCCCCTCACATTACGTACCCGTCCTCTATGACACCTAGGCTCCACCCCCTCACACGACGTATCCGTCCCCTAGGACACCCAGGCTCCGCCCCCTCACACTGACAGAAGGTATCACCGCTGACAATGTAAACAAACAATTGCGCAATACATTTTCTCTCCAATTCCCGTCCAGTGAGCTGACACCCTGCCCTGCACTCTCCGCCAATCAGCGCTCTGACCCCTCCCCCTCCGCTGCGGTGACAGCCCTGTGTCCCCGCCCAGTCCGGGGGTCTCTCTCTTCTTCCTAGTCGTTGAGTTGTCACCTGATCGCTGGATCTGATAGAGTCTCCGAGTCCCTGTGGGTGTAGGCGCGGCTGGATGTGTCTATAGGGCGGTGCACCCCCTCCCCCCTGGATGTACAGACACATCATGTCCCCCATACTGGGAGTCCTCACCGCTCTGCTCCTGTGCTCCCCGGGTTCCGGGGTCCCCCTGTCCGCTCACACCCCCCCTATCCCGCTGGACTACACCTGGAAGAATGTCACCTGTACGGCCTGCAAGGCGCTCTTCACCGCCCTGGACATCAGCCTGCAGGTGAGACACTGGAGGGACACCAGTATGGCTGCTGGGGTACTGGGAGCGAAGGGGTTAATTGTGCCTGGCTTTCCGAGATTGAAGGGGTTAATGTGTGGCACTGGGCTGCCTTGCAAGGGGTTAACTTATTGTCCTAGGCTGGGAGGGAAGGGGTTAATTCATTGCACAGGGCTGCTTGGGAGGGAAGGGGTTAATGCGTGTACCGGCCCTTTAATAATGCCATGGGGGTGGGGTATAATTATGTGATATGACCCCCGTAATTGCCCCGGAGCTCTCTGGGGGAGGGGGTCACATCGGGAGCTCTGCCAGGGAAGGGGTCAATACATGTGACTGGCATCATGTGAACTTCATTTACTGGGGAGGTCACATGACCAGCCCTCTGCACCAAGTCATGTGACGGCCTGACCCTCAGCGGAGGGCCCCCCAGATTTATAATCCCAACCCCTCCCTCCCTGCTATTGGTCTGGGGGCTCCAGTGAGGGAATAATCGGCTACGATCGCCCACGGGGTGTGAAGGGATCGGACGCGGGGACAATTTGTTCGCTGTTTGCACGTTAAATTAAATTAGATCTGGGAAATGGATCCCCCATCAGATCCTCTGATTCCCCCATCAGATCCTACGATTCCCCCATCAGATCCTCCCCATTAGATCCTTCCCATCAGATCCTCCCCATCAGATCCTCCGATTAGATCCTTCCATCAGATCCTCCGATCCCCCATCAGATCCTCCCCATCAGATCCTCCGATTAGATCCTTCCCATCAGATCCTTCTATCAGATCCTCCGATCCCCCATCAGATCCTCCCCATCAGATCCTCCGATCCCCCATCGGATCCTTCCCATCAGATCCTCCCCATCAGATCCTCCCCATCAGATCCTCCCGATTAGATCCTTCCCATCAGATCCTCCCCATCAGATCCTCCGATCCCCCATCAGATCCTCCAATTAGATCCTTCCCATCAGATCCTCCGATCCCCCATCAGATCCTCCCCCATCAGATCCTCCAATTAGATCCTTCCCATTAGATCCTCCCCATCAGATCCTCCCCATCAGATCCTCCTCATGAGATCCTCCACATCAGATCCTCCACATCAGATCCTCCCCCATCAGATCCTCCTCATCAGATCCTCCACATCAGATCCTCCACATCAGACCCTCCCCATCAGATCCCCCATCAGACCCTCCCATCAGATCCTCTGATCTCCGATCCTCCCCATCAGATCCCCCATCAGACCCTCCCATGAGATCCTCCCCATCAGACCCTCCCATCAGATCCTCCGATCTCCGATCAGATCCTCCGATCCCCCATCAGATCCTCCCATCAGATCATCAGATCCTCCCCATCAGACCCTCCCCATCAGATCCTCCCCATCAGATCCTCCACATCAGATCCTCCGGTCCCCCATCAGATCCTCCGATCAGATCCCCCCATCAGATCCTCCGATCAGATCCCCCCATCAGATCCTCCACATCAGATCCTCCCCATCAGACCCTCCCATCAGATCCTCCGATCTCCGATCAGGTTCCCCGTCCTCATCATGGTTCCCCCGTCCTCATCATGGTTCCCCCGTCCTCATCAGGTTCCCCCGTCCTCATCATGGTTCCCCCGTCCTCATCATGGTTCCCCCGTCCTCATCATGGTTCAGTTCCCCCGTCCTCATCATGTTCCCCCGTCCTCATCATGTTCCCCCGTCCTCATCGGGTTCACCCGGGGTGAAACTCTTGTTGTTTTCAATCATTAACCCCTTCACACCCGGAGCCATTTCTCATTTTCAAAATCTCAGTTTTTGTCTAGAAACCCCCCAAATGTGACCGCAGGTGACAGGTCCTCTTTATAGAGACATGGGAGGGGGGGGGGGCCCTAATGTCACCTCTACACTCTGCTGCCGACCAATCAGCACCCTGATCCTCTGTTTTGGCAACTGAGTTGGCAACTCCGGCCTTCCAGCTGTGCTTTAACTACAAATCCCATCATCCCTCTGCCTCTGGGGGTCATGCCTGCGGCTGTCTGAATCTTGCAATGCCTCATGGGACTTGTAGTTCCACAACAGCCGGAGTTGCCCACCCCTTGGTTCACCCGGCCTCAGTACTCCTCTCCGCAGCTCTCAGCCATGACGCAAGCAGCGGGAGGGGTTATGCAAATATCACACTGCCTTGATGGGCGGGGTCAACCTGGAGCAGTGGGCGGTCCTAGGCAGGATGCGTTTATCTAGTGGCATTGTATCATTAATACATCACTTCCTGTATTCTATATCATGGTACAGCAGAGCTCAGACTGAGGGGAGGGGAAGCAGCACCAGGAGCAAATCAGATATGCTGCAGTGCTAACACAGAGCATGCTGATAGGAGGGGAGAGCAGCGTGATGAGCTCATCACTCTGCTGCTTCTCCTTTCATTGTCCGGTCCGGGTGGGGAGGAGAAACTGCAGCAGGTCCTCCCCGCTATCAGCTAGGGGGTGTGCTATGTGGCAGAGCTATGTAAATCTGAGGACTGGCTGGACAGAAGTAGAAATGCTGCAGGTTTTCCGGCTCCTCTTCGGAGGGACTGTCAGCGCGGTTGTTGGCGACTGTCAGCGGCTTCCATTAAAGAGAGGAAGTGGTCGGACGTGATGAGTGGTAGAGGAAGGGGGCGGAGTCTGTTCTCTGACCGCGCTGAGCTTCCAGCACAGAGATGACATCATCGTGGTGAATGGGGGGGATGGGCTGTCAGTGTAGATCTCGTGTAGCGGATCGTCCGTCACGCAATGTTCGGTGTCCATGTAAACGAGGCGTGTTAACTGCATGTTTGCTGGGGCAACACGGTGCTGTGCGCTGAAGACAGGTAGTGGTCAGCTGCAGGTCAGGAGGTGGTCAGCTGCAGGTCAGGAGGGGGTCAGCTGCAGGTCAGGAGGAGGTCAGCTGCAGGTCAGGAGGTGGTCAGTTGCAGGTCAGGAGGTGGTCAGTTGCAGGTCAGAAGGGGGTCAGCTGCAGGTCAGGAGGTGGTCAGTTGCAGGTCAGGAGGGGGTCAGCTGCAGGTCAGGAGGTGGTCAGCTGCAGGTCAGGAGGTGGTCAGCTGTAGGTCAGGTGGTGGTCAGGAGGGGGTCAGCTGCAGGACAGGTAGTGGTCAGCTGCAGGTCAGGAGGTGGTCATCTGCAGGTCAGGAGGAGGTCATCTGCAGGTCAGGAGGTGGTCATCTGCAGGTCAGGAGGGGGTCAGCTGCAGGTCAGGAGGGGGTCAGCTGCAGGTCAGGAGGGGGTCAGCTGCAGGTCAGGAGGAGGTCAGCTGCAGGTCAGGAGGTGGTCAGCTGTAGGTCAGGAGGGGGTCAGCTGCAGGTCAGGAGGAGGTCAGCTGCAGGTCAGGAGGTGGTCAGCTGTAGGTCAGGAGGGGGTCAGCTGCAGGTCAGGAGGAGGTCAGCTGCAGGTCAGGAGGTGGTCAGCTGTAGGTCAGGAGGGGGTCAGCTGCAGGTCAGGAGGAGGTCAGCTGTAGGTCAGGAGGTGGTCAGTTGCAGGTCAGGAGGTGGTTAGCTGCAGGACAGAAGGTGGTCAGTTGCAGGTCAAATGTACATGTCAATGCATTGTGAATGATTTCAGCAACATCTTAAACTGATGTCATTGATATAGTCCCGGGGCCCCCCAGCACAGGGCCTTCTGTGGCCCTTTTTTTTTATTCAAATGGGTTTTGCAATTCCATACAAGTCTATGGGACTGAAAAACCTGCTTGAAGCCGGTGGAATGCAGGTCAGGGGTTGGTCAGAAGCTGGTCAGGGGTTGGTCAGAAGCAGGTCAGGTGGTGGTTGAAATGCATCCTGAATGATCTCGGCAGCATCCTGGACAGATGTGATTGATGGAACCCCGGGGCCCCTCGCCCCCCCGGGCCCTCAGGCCGTCATTATAAGAATGTCTCATCTTTTATTTTCTGTCTGTGTCTGCAGCTGGAGAGTAACATGGATCTGGTGGCGTCGGTGGCGGTGAGGGTGTGTCAGACTTTGCACCTGGCGGAGCCCAGTGTCTGTGAACAGGCGGTCCAGCTCTTTAAGGAGGACATGATCACGGCGTGGGTCCTCTCCGTGCTGCGCCCCTCCGAGGTCTGCGGCCTGCTCCTGGGCACTGAATGCGGCCACTGGGATTTAGGTTCGGACTGGAATATCACTCTGCCGGCTGTGCCCAAACCCCCAGTACAGCCACCCGTTCCCCCGCCGCCGGGGTCTCCGGTCTCCCGCGTCCTTTTCCTGACGGATGTCCACTGGGACCACGGCTACTACCCGGGGGGCCCGATTACCTGCAAGGAGCCCCTATGCTGCAGGGACCACGCATCAGGAGGAGGCCACGGGTCGGCTGGGTACTGGGGGGAATACAGCAAGTGCGACATTCCTCTGCACACCATCGAGTCTCTTCTGCGCCATGTAGCCAGCAGCGGCCCCTATGACCGGGTCTACTGGACAGGAGACATACCGGCCCACAATGTATGGGAGCAGACCAGGGCCGAGCAGCTGAACGCCCTGAAGACCATTACTGGGCTGATCAAGAAGTACCTGGGCCCGGTGCCGGTCTATCCTGCTGTGGGAAACCATGAGAGCGCGCCTGTCAATAGCTTCCCACCTCCCTCGGTGCACGGAAACCTGTCCTCCAGCTGGCTGTACCAGGCCATGGCCAAGGAGTGGAAGGAATGGCTCACCCCGGGAGCTCTGGAGACACTCAGGTGACTTGATGATGATGATGAATATCTATATATAGAATGTTTTTCTTCTACAGTTCAGGCTCCTCCATGTCCTGTCTCTTCCCACGTCCACCCCGTCCTCTCCCTCCCTCATGTCCTCTCCCTCTCGCCCCCGCCCTCATCCTCCCTCTCTCCTCCTCAGC